TGGAGCCCAGCAGGTCGAGGCTGCGGTGGCCGGGAGCGGCCACTGCACTCCAGTCTGGGTGACGGAGTGAGACTCCAACTCAAAAAAAAAAAAAAGAACAGAGAAATAATTCTTAAACATTGAGCATTTTGCCTCCAGTATCCACCAGAAAATGGGGGGAAAATACATTCATTACATTTAGAACATCCTTTGTGTGTAATTTAGAACATCCTTTGTGTGTTTGCTGTAGTATTCACTGTATTTTTCTACAAGTTAGGTAGATTGCATCTAAGATAAGTAAGTAAATGAGAGAAGACAGCCTTTAAAAGCCTTTTATTTCTTACCTGTAAGACCCAGAAGAGTGTAGACTGGAGCTGTTCTTCCTATTAACATGGGGCTCAGAGGGGAAGAAAGCACACCTCGTGTTAGAGCTGGGATTTGAATTCCAGTCTCTGACTTTGCAAAAGCAGTTACCTCTGTCACTTTTTTCTGTCTGGTTTTTATTCTTCAGATTCCAACTAGCTTTCCTTTTCAAGTAGTAAGCTAAGTGGGATCCTTTGGATAGTCCTTTTTTTAAAAAGCAATATTCAGAAAGTAAGACCTGTTTTAACTATTTTAAAATACCAACAGAAATGCTGTCCCTCCTTTAAAAAGAAAAACTGGGTTTTCTCTATTCCTCTGCCAAATACCCCAATTGTTTGTATTCCATGCCAAAATGCAGTGTAGACATTTATTTCTATTATTGTTCCTTGTGGCAGATATGAAGCAGTTAAAATATGGGATATTTTGGAAATACAAACTTATATTCTTCAGTTACTGACAGATTTTATTTGTAATCCTTTGAACTAGATTGGGGGATGGTGTCTGTGATACCTTCATGATGATAGATGAAACCAAATGCCCACCCTGTTCAAATGTCCTCTGCAATCCTTCTGAACCAGCTCTACCCAGAAGACTAAATGTAAGTAAAGGAAGTAATTCCTTGTGCTCTAATTGTCTTGGAAATGAGGAAGTTCTGTTTAATATTCAAGGTACAGTTAGATATCACTGACAATCCAAACTCTTTTGTTTCCTTTTGATTTCTCCTGATTTTGAACTAACAATTTTTGTGGTACAAATTTAGCTTTTCAGAATGATTTTGATTTGGAGCCTACCTATTTCTTTCAGTTTCCACTAGGATAAATATATAGCACTAGGAAAAAAAATAATATGCTACTTTTATGTAGATAATGCTTATTTTTATAGAGGATGATATATACTGGGTATTATAAAAACAAGGATCAGAAAAATCCCAGAATTTTTAGATCTGCAGATTCTTTCCCCCTGCAAGATAGGAATGCAGTCCTAGCTTATTAGTATGCTAAAGAGAGCCACTTAATAGATAGATCACGAATAAAACTTGATAAAACAATTTGATTGCCAGATCCTGTGACTCACCCCTGTAATCCCAGTGCTTTGGGAGGCTGAGGTGGGAGGATCACTTGAGGCCAGGAGTTAGAGACCAGCCTGGGCAATATAGCAAGACCTCATCTCTAAAAAAATAAATTAACTGGGTGTGGTGGTATACGCTTGTATCCTAGCTACTTGGAAGGCAGAGGCAGAAGAATTACCTGAACCCCTGAAGTAGAGGCTGTGGTGAGCTGTGATCTTGCTATTGTACTCCAGCCTGGATGATAGAGTGAGACTGACTCAAAAAAATAAAAAAATGTGCTGCTTATGTTGTACAATGAACAAATTGAATAATTGAATAGACTAATTTGTAACACTTATCTTTCACATTTCTGTTTAGGATGTGAAATTGTTTATATATACGGAAAAACATCAGTTGTATTTTTCATGATCCTTCCTAGGTTTTCATCAGTTTTTGCTTAAAATCAAGCTTTTCACAACTCTAATAATACATAAAGCATGGGCTAAAAATATTTGGAAGCCCATTCATCCTATTTTTAATCTCTTTTCTGGCGTACAGTGGGGGATTTTTTTTCATTCCTTTGCAACTTTATTTCTTTAGTATATAAAAACCTCTAAGAACTCCACAACTATATATCCCTTGTGTTGACCATCAGATTTCTTGGCTACTGGCCGCCAGTCATCATATCTATATAGGAACTTTTTTGCAATTGGGATGATGTGATAACATCTGACTTAAAGTTCATTTTAACTTTGATTCAAAGTTGGCTGGATTATATGCATTACTTGGTTATTATGATAATAACCTTAGACTATAATATATAGTGTTTTATAACTATTACACTTTAACATGTGTGAACAGTGCAGGTTTTCCTAGAACAGTGGAAGGAAGTCTTTAAATTAGCACAGCCAACTTGATATATAATTGATTCAGGCCAGTATTTGAGTTATTTAGAGGAAAGGAAAGAAAGCTAAGAAGAGAGCCCCTCCTTAGGTGTAAAAGTTGCTTCTTGGAATTCTCCAGATTCATTGGCAATGATAATCTCCCTGGTGGATTATACCTGAAGTAGCATATTCTGTTCTGGAAGCCACACTTCAAGAGAGACATAACGTGCAGACTATGTTGAGAATTGTTGGGTGAGGTAAGGACGATGTAGTAGGGATGTTGAGAATTGTTGGGTGAGGTAAGGACGATGTAGTAGGGATGGGAAACCTACACAATGGTGGAACAGGGGCAAGACAGCCCCTTTACGTATCTGGAGGGCTCAAACATGAAATTTGGACACTTCTGTGTAGTTGCCAAGGACAAAGTAAGACTTAAGTTGCAGGGAGAGAGATTTAGGCTCTTTAAGGAAAAACCACAAGTCAGGAAATCCAAACGGCGTCTTTAATATTAGTGTAACAGTTCTATGGAAATTAAAGTTCGGAATGTATCTGTTCTTATTAATGTTCTGTACCTGAGAACTTCTCTTTATGACAAACAGAAATGAAGACCTTCAGAGCAGTGTAGACTTACATGTAGGCAGAGTGGTTGAAATTCCCAGGGACAGACCCTGGACCACAAATACCTTTCCTACTGGATTGTCACTGATGACTACAGCTCCTAGAGAGGCATTCTGTTGGGTTAAGTCGTTGATATTCTGTTGAAGTTAAAATATCCCTGGAGAGGTTGCACATTAAATTATAGCAAGTGGAAAGCAGGTTTCATGTGGGGGGAGTGGATGAGGCATTTCCATGCATCCTAAGGGAAGGCCTATTATGGAGGCCCTCGTTGAGCAGAAGAGCTGTTTAGTGCTAGACTCTTGGTGGAAGGAGACCATCAAAGGGAGAAAAGATACATCAGGTGGGGAGGGGAGCGTGTATAGAAATTTAAACTGTATGATATTTTGAAAATTTTGCCATTGTAGCCAGTGTTTTAAAAATATGTTATAATTCGTGAGGGTCTTTCACATACATCATTAATTATAATTTGGTTCACACAACATCCTGCAAGTAGATATAATATTATTATCCACATTTTATAGATAAAGAAACTAAAGTGAAGAAAAGTTCAAATTTCCTGGCCAAGGACCCACAGTTTTTAAATAATATAGCTTAGAGGACCCCAGCCCACGCCTTCTGACTTCATATTTCTTCAGGATGTGTGCCAAAGACTGCAGTAAATATTTAGACACATTAAAAGTTAGATAGCAAAAATTTTAAGAAAAACTGGCTAAGATGTATGCATTTGTTCAATTTTGTTATGTCAATCTAACTAAAATCATACAATTATAAATCCTTAGTTCAGCCTAATATATAGATTGTAGTGCTTTAAGAACACCTAAGTGTTCATGGATATTTGATGAATGGATATGACCTGCTTCTGTTTTTTCATCCCTGATAACAGGAACAGTTATTTGACTTAATTACTGATAAGAACAATGTCATATTGCATTTTAGCAAAGTATTTAATTTCCTTTTTTTTTTTTGAGTTGGAGTCTCACTGTCGCCAAGACTGGAGTGCAGTGGCCGCTCCCGGCCACCGCAACCTCCACCTGCTGGGCTCCAGCGATCCTTCTGCCTCAGCCTTCCAAGTAGCTGGAACTACAGGCTCGCGCTATCACACCCGGCTAACTTTTTTTGATTTATTGTAGAGATGAGGTCTTGCCAAGTTGCCCAGGCGGGTCTCGAACCCGTGAGCTCAGGCAATCCACTCATCTCGGCCTCCCAAAGTGCTGGGATTACAGGCTGAGCCACCGAGCCCAGCCCTGTTTATTTTCTTGACTAGTGATACTTCTCTATTTTGGTATCAGAAAGACTATACTTGATTCATATCTGGCTCCTTTTTTTTAAGACTAAATACCAAGCTTTGGCTACAGTTAAACTGGCTGCTTCATTTTTGTTTACGTTCATATAATACATAATGTAACCGTAAATGCTCTATAAATATTTAAATTGTTTACTTGACTTTTAAAAGATGCAAGCGGGACTTTGATAACTAGATTAGGGGAGCTGTCTGAGATATGTCAACAGTTACTTTTTGAATCTTTTTTGTTGTTTTTATCTTTTTATCCTGTTGTTTTCTTTTTTATATTAGTTTTTATTATTTATTTTTGGTAATATATAAATACCATTTTTGTTTGCTTAGGTTATGTTAAAATTCTATTTTTAAAAGGTTCGACCACTTTTTAGCGTATATTTTTAGAGATTGTAACTGTAGCTTAGAGCTACTCTGGAATCAGCTCCCCTGATGTTAGAGGCTGTCTGAAATTACCAAACAGATAAAGGAGATAGTTCTTTAGGGTTCATTGAAAAAAACAGATTTTTTTAAGTATCCCAGACTACTTTTGTTTTTTAACAACAGATTTAACATGTTTTTCTTTTCAGCCCTTTCTTTTTTTTTTTCTTTTTTTGAGTTGGAGTCTCACTCTGTCGCCCAGACTGGAGTGCAGTGGCCGCTCCCGGCCACCGCAGCCTCAACCTGCTGGGCTCTGGCGATCCTCCCACCTCAGCCCTTCCTAGTAGCCGGAATTACAGGCATGCGCTACCACGCCCAGCTGATTTTTTGATTTGTTGTAGAATGAGGTCTCGCTGCCCAGGTGGGTCTCGAACCCGTGGGCTCAGGCAATCCACTCACCTCAGCGCCCAAAGGCACGGGATTACAGGCTGAGCCACCGAGCCCGGCTTAATTTTTTGATTTGTTGTAGAGATGAGGGCTTGCCAAGTTGCCCAGGCGGATCTCGAACCCGCGGGCTCAGGCAATTCATTCGCCTCATCCTCCCAAAGTGCTGGGTTTATGGGCTAAGCCACCGAGTCCAGCTTCAGCCCCTTCTTTTTTTTTTTGAGTTGGAGTCTCACTCGGTCGCCCAGACTGGAGTGCAGTGGCCGCTCCCGGCCACTGCAGCCTCGCCTGCTGGGCTCCAGTGATCCTTCCGCCTCAGCCTTCCGAGTAGCCGGAATTACAGGCATGCGCTACCACGCCCGGCTGATTTTTTGATTTATTGTAGAGATGAGGTCTCGTTGCCCAGCGGGTCTCGAACCCGCAGGGTCAGACAATCCACTCACCTCAACCTCCCAAAGGCGCGGGATTACAGGCTGAGCCACCCAGCCCGGCTTCAGCCCCTTCTTAATGTTTTTATTTCTTTTTTAAAAATTGTATATATCTAAGGTATACATTATTCGATATACATAGTGAAATAATTACAACAGTCAAGCCAGTTAACATATCTGCTGTCTCACAAAGTTGCCCTGTTTTTAATATTAAGTGTTTCCTAAGAGTTTGTCTCATCTTTTCCTTCATCTTATTTTAAAGAATCTTGTTTAAATTCAAAGAAGAATATGTAGAGCTTCCTTCTGTATGTTACTGCTCCTTCCAGGAAAAGGTTATGCAAAATTTAGTAAAAGGAGAGGAGTAGTACTCCTTTATCAAATAGGCCTTGGGGGGGGTGGGGTTACAAGAAGTACCCCGGGGCCTTGGAGTCTCACGGTTATTTCTTGGGTACTTGAAGAATTGGCCTAGATGATCTCAAGAGTTCTCTCTGGCTTAGAGCTCTTATGACTCAATGAACAGAGTTAGAAGCCTGCAATAATTTATAGGGGAACCTGGGAGTAGTTGATGAGATCTTGGTTGATTCCAGGCCGTAGCTAGCATTTAGCCCTCTCAGAGAGGGAGAGGCCTGGACTGGGAGTCGGAAGACCTGGGTTCAAATCTTGATTCTGTTACTTAATAGTACCTTACTGTTTATACTTAATTATGCATTATTTTGATCCTTGCTATATGCCCTTAAGATTTGGGGAGATACTTGAAACAATTAATAATGTAAGACAATGTCTATATAATCAAGTTCTAAATTATGTGGTATGGTCTTGAAAAGCTGCATTTAAGATGTGAGATTAATTAGTATGGGCTCCTAGTAGTTCTAAGTGGAAGAGAGAAGACTTGAATTGGGCCTTGAAGAAGTGTAGGATTTGAGTTGATAGAGAGTGCAAGGATTCTCAGGCATATATGAAGGGACACACACACAAAAAAACCCTGGAATTTATTTATAAAAAATTGTAGCCGGGCTCGGTGGCTCAGCCTGTAATCCCAGCGCTTTGGGAGGCTAAGGTAAGTGGATTGCCTGAGCCTGTGGGTTCGAGACCCACCTGGGCAACTTGGCGAGACCTCATCTCTACAATATAACACAACACAACACAATAATTAGCCGGGCATGGTAGCACACACCTGTCGTTCCAGCTACTTGGAAGGCTGAGGCTGAAGGATCGCCGGAGCCCAGCAGGTCGAGGCTGCGATGGCCGGGAGCGGCCACTGCACTCCAGTCTGGGTGACAGAGTGAGACTCCAACTCAAAAAAAAAAAAATTGTGTGTTTATTCTTACATGTCTAAACTTCAGTCATCTTTGAAGTACTCTCCATTTGATGCAGTATACCTATTGAGACATTTTTTACACTGCTCAAAACAATTTTTGAACTTGTCCATTTTGATGCCTTTTAGTGCTTCTGCCAGTTTTTGTTTCACCTCTTCCACACTGAGGACTTTTTTTCATCTGGGGAAACAAAAAAAGGTTGCATGGGGCGAGATCAAGTGTATAAGGATGGTGGGGTGGGGGGTCATGGTATTTTTTATCAACAACTGCTTAACACAGTTTGGTGTGGGCTGGTGTACTCATAAGTTACCCATCACGAAATTGGCAAACGTGTTGAAAGACTCTCTAAAAAAAAATTCACTGAAGCTGATTGCAGCCACTCAACAATGCTAGCTGGTACACTGATACTGACAGGTTCCTAAAACACCTCGTGGAGGAACCCTGTACTACAGGGAGCCCACCCTCTAAAAGATAATTTTGGTTCTCTTTGGGTCCTCCCCTGTATGGGGGATTGGGGTGGTCATAATATTCAAGGAGTCTGAGAATTAATATAACACAAATCTCTAGAAACTCTTGCTTTTTTTGAGTCTCCCTATTGAGTCACTTTAACCTTAAAGTAAGCATGACTGGTTAAATTTTGTTATTCAGTAAGAGGAGGGAAGATCCTTTCATCTTTCTAATGTTTTTAGTGACTTTCACGTTATATTCATTTTTTTCTCTTATAGATCACCACTGAGCAGCTAACAAGAGATCATACTCAGCACTTTCTGAATGGAGGTGAGATGAAGGTAGAACAGCTGTTTCAAGAATTTGGCAACAGAAGATCCGATACTCTTAAGTCAGATGGCATCAACAATTCTGAAAAATGCTCTCCTACTTTTTCTCAGGGTAAAAATTCAGATAGCTTGAATATAGGAAAATCTAGTGGCTCACCCAAAGCACCCAAAGTGGTGCCTCTGACTCCAGAACAAGCCCTGAAGCAATATAAACACCACCTCACTGCCTATGAGAAGCTGGAAATCATCAATTATCCTGAAATTTACTTTGTGGGTCCAAATGCCAAAAAAAGACATGGAGTCATTGGTGGGCCAAATAATGGGGGCTATGATGATGCAGATGGAGCCTATCTACATGTACCTCGAGACCATCTAGCTTATCGCTATGAGGTGCTGAAAATTATTGGCAAGGGCAGTTTTGGGCAGGTGGCCCGGGTCTATGATCACAAACTCCGACAGTATGTGGCCCTAAAAATGGTACGCAATGAGAAGCGCTTCCATCGTCAAGCAGCAGAGGAGATCCGGATTTTGGAGCATCTTAAAAAACAGGATAAAACTGGTAGCATGAATATTATCCACATGCTGGAAAGTTTCACATTCCGGAACCATGTTTGCATGGCTTTTGAATTGCTGAGCATAGACCTTTATGAGCTGATTAAAAAAAACAAGTTTCAGGGTTTTAGCGTCCAGTTAGTACGCAAGTTTGCTCAATCCATCTTGCAGTCCTTGGATGCTCTTCACAAAAATAGGATTATTCATTGTGACCTGAAGCCAGAAAACATTCTCCTGAAACACCATGGACGCAGCTCCACCAAGGTCATTGACTTTGGGTCCAGCTGTTTTGAGTACCAGAAACTTTACACATATATCCAGTCTCGATTCTACAGAGCTCCAGAGATCATCTTAGGAAGCCGCTATAGCACGCCTATTGACATATGGAGTTTTGGCTGCATTCTTGCAGAGCTTTTAACAGGACAGCCTCTCTTCCCCGGAGAGGATGAAGGAGACCAGTTGGCCTGCATGATGGAGCTTCTTGGGATGCCACCACCAAAACTTTTGGAGCAATCCAAACGTGCCAAGTACTTTATTAACTCCAAGGGCCTACCTCGCTACTGCTCCGTGACCACTCAGCCAGATGGGAGGGTTGTGTTGATGGGGGGTCGCTCACGAAGGGGTAAAAAGCGGGGTCCCCCAGGCAGCAAAGACTGGGCGACAGCACTGAAGGGGTGTGATGACTACTTGTTTATAGAGTTTTTGAAAAAATGTCTTCACTGGGACCCCTCTGCCCGCTTAACCCCAGCTCAAGCACTAAGACACCCTTGGATTAGCAAGTCTGCACCCAGACCTCTCACCACCATAGACAAGGTGTCAGGGAAACGGGTGGTTAATCCTCCAAATGCTTTCCAGGGACTGGGTTCCAAGCTGCCTCCAGTTGTTGGAATAGCCAATAAGCTTAAAGCTAACTTGATGTCAGAAACCAATGGTGGTATACCTCTGTGCAGTGTATTGCCAAAATTGATTAGCTAATGGACAGAGTTATGCTCAGAGATGCATATGTATGTATTTTAATCATCTGCAAACCAAGTGGGGAAAAAATGCAAGCCTATTGGTGGATATGTTTTGACTAGACTTGACTTCTTTTTTTAACAAGACAAAACATTTTTATATGACTATAAAAGAATTCTTCAAGGGCTAATTACCTAACCAGCTTGTATTGGCCATCTGGAATATACATTAAATGACTTTTTATAGGTCAATGCATCTTTGTTATTATCGTCAGATGTACTTTAACCAATGTATTATTCTACTGGTTTAAATCTCTTTCTCTCAAGATGGAAGGTGTACCAAAATGTATATTCTGACTACTCCTCACTTGTAGTGTCCCTCACATCAGTTCTGGGTAAACGGGGATGTGGCAGTTGTGGATGAGAGCCAGTGCTAGCTCTCTTGCCCTAGCAGGCTGTTCTCTAGGCTCCTTCTAGGCAAAAAGGTTCACATCAGAACGTGGGGTGGGGAGCAGCAGAAAGCTGTTGATGACCTGGACGATTGGTGTCACTGGTTTTCAATGGCCGTTCATCTTCCCTTCAATTCTCTGATGTTCAGTGTTTTTATTTTATGTTGTTATTATTTTGCTTCTGATTTGTTTCCTAGGGACTCAAAGTATTTAACAGACATCTTAACACTTTACCAAATAACCTACAAGGTCCTGATTTTAAAACTGAGTCATATTTTTCTCTTCCTTTGTCCTGTCCTCTCCTGGCTCCCCCATCTCCAAGGAAGATAAATCTACTTCTTTGCCCCAGGTGACCCAGGATGGTACAGGTAGAATCAGCATGAAAACTGCGATTGCCCAACTTCGTGGTACTCTGTGAACCAGCCTACTTGATGTATTTCATGGATTCTCTTCCTTATAAATGTGGTCACTCTCAGGTAAACCTCACTATTTAAATGCCTCTGTCCTTTCTTTCCAGCTACCTGCTGTCTTAATGTGCCACATTTTTCTCACTTTCACTTTAAATTTAAGGCTGTTCCCTAGATCTGAGTGCATTTCTGTTAAGAAAACTATTTGAAAATCCAGAAACTGGTGATAACTGTTTCTTGCCTTTACATTCCCTAATTTTATTCACTTTGTAGTCTTTCTTTTTCTCTGCTAAGATTTAAAGTTAAACAGTGAGGGTCAAAAATAAAACTAATTGCTAAGCCAAATGTCTCACACGGAAGAGTGGAGATGGGACAGAAACTAAGTAACTCACTCTGCTGTTTTTTATAATTTTTCCTGTCCCTTCTTTGATTTCTATGATCAAATAAGATATACCCCAAGTTCTATCCTAAATGTGTGCTCTTTAAAGTAGAACATTTCCTTTCTACAACATAGTTCTCAGAATGATCCAGTTCCATTTTTGTTCTTCTAGAAGTTAGTCTGCAAACTCCATGAGATTGGAAGGAGGCTGTTTTCATTGGGCAATACGGTAACAAAAAGAAAAGAAAAATGCCATAGGCATATTATTAAGGAACTTTTGCCTTATCCAAGAGAATTCCTGGTTGTCATAGTACAGACTGTAAAAATAAGAATGGACAGTCCCTCACTGATTCCAGAGTGTGACCTCAGCCTCCCAAGCACAAGGGCCAGCCAGCAGAGAGGAGCTTAACCCTTTTCCTGTTTAACCCAAGGATACTTGGCAGCTGTGCTTGTGGCTGCAGTATTTACCCGACGATTAAAAAAGAGGGAGAGAGAATTACAAAATTACTGAAAAGAGAATTACTATTTTTTTTTTTTTTTGAGTTGGAGTCTCTGTCACCCAGACTGGAGTGTAGTGGCCGCTCCTGGCCACCGCAGCCTCGACATGCTGGGCTCTGGCGATCCTTCCGCCTCAGCCTTCCAAGTAGCCGGAATTACAGGCATGCGCTACCATGCCTGGCTGATTTTTTGATTTATTGTAGAGATGAGGTCTCACTGCCCAGGTGGGTCTCGAACCTGGCTACTATTATTTTTTAATTTTCTAATTTTCCTCTCTCTTTTTTTTTTTGTAATTCTCATTAGGATTAGAGACAAATTCTATTTATAACTAACTCTAAGAACAGTTATCCTATTTTATTTTCACATTGAAAACCAGTCAGATTTGCTTCAGCCTCCAAGAGTGTGTGTATGTAAAATAAAATGAATGTGGCAGTAAGCTGGACTTTTTTTTCCTAAATGGGTAAAGAATTAAACTGAGGCCTCGGCCTCTGTCATAAGAGGAAGTCTTGGCACTTTTGGTAACTGAGAAACTGGATTATTTGAAACCTTAATTATCTCCTTCACTCTTGGTTTACAGAAGCCAATGGAATGTACAACTCCTTTCAATCTCTCTGACTCCTGCTAAACTCTCTCACTTGCTGGAAAGGTTTGAGAACCTCCTGCATTATCTAGGCAGAGCATATGTTGAGGTTGTTTTGCCAGTTGTTATCAGTACAGAAGACCTGCTCTTTTAAACAAACTATGGTAAAGGGATTGCTACCCCAAACACATCTGACACACACTGGATTTTGGTGTTTGTGTTTTCAGTGAAAGATCTCCTTCGTCAGCCAGCACCGTGTCTGAACTTGGGGAGAGAAAGGAGCCCGTGGCTGTGGTTGGCATGTGCTCTGATCTGATTCTGTATTGAATGGACTGTGAGGTTACTGAAACTGGGCTGAGTGAAAGAATATAGACAACCCATGACACTGTAGACATTCTAGAAAGCTCATGGATGTGCTTCTGCCTCAATTTGGCAACCTAGAGAGTAATGCAGAGTCACTGAAGTTGGCATGCTTGTCTTCTGTTGGCTGATTCAAATTTGCGGAGAGTGAGCCTCTTTAAAACATGGTGCTTGTTGTGCAGATGGATTTGAGGAGGTTTATTGATGGGTTTCAAGTTTAGGGACAAGTTGTTGTTTTTAGAGGCTGTCACCCTATGCTGCCTTTTTAAAAAATTTTTTTGCCACTGCTTAATTTTCACGTGGAGCCCTGCCCAGCTGTAGCAATGAGTGACGGAATTGGATCAGAGTTAGTGCAGAGATTCAGACTGTCTCTTATTCAGTTATTGGGTTGTGTTTAACCATTTTTGTTCTTTTAGGTCATTTCAGTTAAACAGGTAATGGTGACTTACTGCTTTCTAAGTTGACAAAATCAACTGGATTTCCATATTGTTATTGACACAGAGAAAACTGGATCGAATTTTTCTTTTATTTCATTCCTAAAAATCACTTTTTTCTTTCAATGCTGAGAAATTGGCTAATCTAGCTAATACCTGCTCCTCTTCCTATACTCTGTTCTGCCTTCTACCCTCACAGTAATTGTTATGTTTCACCAATCATGTGCTGACATGATTTCTCCTTATATTAGAATGAAAGCTTCACATGGGCAGGCCTGTGTCTTTATGATGTTCTGAATTCACAATGTTGATGCCCACTGATTAGGTACAAGCATGGGACTTCATTGTCTCCTATACACCAGAAGTGTGCTCACCTCTTTTTTTAAGTTGACCCACACAGTCTATCACTGATCTCTTCTTTTTGGGAAAGGGTAATTAGATAAGGGTTATGTGAGGCCACTTTCTTCTGGTCCAGTGTTAGGCACTGAAAATAATGAAGAGAGAAATAGAGAGAGAAATGCCATCAAAACCTAACTTATATAAGGATTCTGCTGCCCCTCAGGGGCTCTGAAAAAGGAGAAAGTCTAGCCTTGATCTTCTTCCCTTAGGAGACTGACTTATGACCATATTAGTGTGCTTTATTCCTAGGTGTTTAAGAGGGTTGGGGCAGATGGGTTAGCTGACTAATGTCATTAGGTTTTAGTTTCCATGACATTTAATCTGTTAAGAAAGGGATTTATTACATAATAAAAAAAAGAGCAAAACAAAATTAAATAAAAATTTCAACTGTGAAACTGTTTCAATCTGTAGCAGCTGGTGGTGTTAAAATACTTTGTTTTGCTTAATTCCTAACTAGGCATAATTAAAGTTGAATGCTGAATTTTAGGTAACAACTGATAAATGGTTCTAAACTTTCCTGACAGAATACTCCTACTACTTTAATGAATCATAGAAAAGTCTTTCTCATTTTTTAAAATTATGTCTTTTGCATCTGTTATTTGGTGTCATCAACACAGAAATTGGAAGGGTGACAGTGATTGTTCTAGACTGCCTCTGTATGCTTTTTCTACTTTGAGGATTAAAATAAGTACTTATCCTTTGAACCAGGTGGAATTGCCAGAACATGTTTTCCTCCGTCCCTTCAGTCTTCAGGTGATCAGTCTGTAGAGTGCTGAAACTTATACATGGAGCAACTGCAAACATCCACGTTATGGAGAGCCTGGAGTTTGAACAAATAAGGAACAAGAAAAGGCCCAAAACTGGCTAATCAAGGAAGAGTTGTCCTCTACCAGGGATCAGCCTCCTGGTTTTCTTTTTTTCTTTTCTTTTTTCTTTTTTTTTGAGTTGGAGTCTCACTCTGTCGCCCAGGCTGGAGGACAGTGGCACACTCCCAGCCACCGCAGCCTCGACCTGCTGGGCTCCAGCAATCCTTCTGCCTCAGCCTTCCAAGGAGCTGGAACTACAGGCACGCACTACCACGCCCGGCTACCTCCTGGTTTTAAATAATATTTTTAATATCCTAATTTCAACATGTCCCACTTTCAACTTCAACCTATATTTCCTGAAGCCCAGGATTTTAAAAAGAATTTACTTATAGACCTGGCCTTTGGCCATAATGTGATTAGGTACAAATCCTTTCCAAGTGTCTGTCAAATTATGTCTGCTAATTTCAATGAGAAAAGTTTTTAAGAGTCACAGCCATCTTGTCCATGTAAGGACTAAAAGCTCTCTGGTCCCTGAGGTCCACAACCCCTGAGCTAAGCCAGAGCTACAAATATATCGTCTAGACTTTGAAGGAGCAGGGTATGATTCTTAATATAGCTCACCCACTGCTAAGTCAAGCCTAGATGCTCATATTTTTTCTATAACAGGAGAAGCCTGCCTGACTGCAGACTAGAAAGATTCTCACGTCTTCTGCCACCACACAAGCAGACTAAAAAGAAAGGAGAGCCCCAAATCAGGCCAAATGGTGACCTGTGGCTATTTCAGCTCAGAATGTCAGCCTCTAAAGCATCAGGTTTGAATGACTTTGGTGTCATGGGATTCTGTCATTGTTCATTTGAGTCTGCTGACATGCTTCCTCTGGAAAGTGCAGTTTGGTATGGATGAGTCAGTGGTTTTTTATTTTGGGGTATTTGGTTTTTAAAAA